CCACAGAGGTATGAAGTGTGTCCTGTTGGAGGTGGGATGAGTTCCGCCTTACCGGAAAGAAATGAAACGAACGTAAGCAATGAACATATGACGAGAACTGAAGAAATACTGCCGTTTGAGCATGAAGGACGTACGGCGCCCGTGTGGAACGGGGTATCGGTAGTCTCAAACCCCAACGACTGTTGGAAGACGGAGAGAGAAGCGTTTGTAAAAGAGGTAGGCTCGGGGCCCGTATGGGACGGTCCCGCAATAGCTGCGCACGTCGACGAACGCTCCAATACGAACCTAAGAGTGGTTACGAGAGATGACCAAGAGAGCGAGATCGAAACAACGAGCGAAAAACTAAGCAAGGAAGGAGAGACGGAAAAGCCGCAACTTCAGGCGTCCTCGACGGAACGAGACTACCCGTCGACGTCAACGAACCACAAGAGTGTGGTTTCGAGCGTGCTAGATCAAGACGAGGAAAAAGGTGAGTCCAATAACGGCCCTATACAGGAGGAGTTAGCCCCAGACGTGACGGAGGTACTCGAAAGCCCAACCCGAGAAGAATATGGAGCTACCGAAGCTAGTGTTCCAGTACCAAAGGCGGACCCACGCGGGCAGGAGAAAGACGTGACCCCTCCTGAGAGAGACGACGCCTCCGAAAAGGACTCTGAGGACGTCGCCAGTACTAAGTCCCCAAAGAATGAACCGGAGAAGGAGCCTTCCTTCGCGAGGGTGTTCACCAAAGAGGAACTAGATACGTTGGAAGAAGGTAAGCCATCCGAGCTGGCTGAAGAGAAAGAAGAATATGACAAAGAGCTCGAAGACCGACTGTTTCCACTCGATGAAGTCGAACTGAAGCGCCGGTTAGTTGAGAATGCGGAACAATCGAAGGAATTGTCTCTTGCCGAGTTGAGTGACTTACTAGGCATTCCCGAAGAACAACTAGCGAGGACCCGAGATTCTCCCCCCGGTCGACTATCTACTCCTGAGTACTGGTTGGAATGGTTCCAAAAGACACTAGCCTCGTCCGGAGAAGCGAAGCGAGCCAACCGTAATTTTCAAGAGGAAAAGCCAGTACGGATCAACTCTGTGACGTCGGATGACTCCGATTACCGCGACGAAGGGGGAGGGACCGCGACGAAGGGGTTCTCGTGGCAGGACGCGCCGAAGACGGTAGTGCACTTCCCGGAGCTGAGAGTTCCTCCTCTACCAGGAGAAGAGTGTCCCGCGGACCCCTCTGTAGTGGAAGACAATATCGCGCTAACCCTGGGGAGTTCCCCCAAAAGGCCCTCCGAACTCGGTGAAGCCGAGTACGAGTTGCTGGACTCTCGCGGTATCGTGCCGGACCCTTGGCGAGCCATAGTGCGACGAGCCGTATACTTCCTCGTAAAGGCTGAAGCTTCAAGTAGAGGTGACTGGTGTGAAGGGTGTATTGGCGAAGGATCGCTAGATGAAGAAAAGAAAGATGACTCTTCGCCCCCCACTAGGCTCCAAGATCTCCTAAGCCGGATCGAGGACTGGATTAATAGCCTCGCTGTTCCCACTGACTCACGATCGAAAGAGTTACTGACTAAAAGAATTGCGGACCTTTACGAGGAAGAGGCTGACGAACTCCGCTTGAAGATCCTCGAGAGGAGTTCACCCTGCCGACTCTGTCGTTGGAAAGATCCTGCTCCTAGAGGCCCTCCAGCGCCGAAGATAGTCAGTTTCGACTACTCCTCTCTATTCGGTAACCGTACCGAAGCCCTCGGGCCGACCTGTTCTCCCCGAGATAAGGAAAACGGGTTGTACGGCTATGTGAACGTCGTCACTGACGCTCCTGACCCTCGCCCCAAGCCAGGTTTGGTAGAAGTACCGAGCGCCACTGATAACTGGTCCGCTGACGTGGAAGAAGGAATCGTTCCCCTCGGCAAGCGAGTAATCGGACAGTAGGGAGCGTGGGAGCTCTATCGTGGGGATTTATCGAGAACCTCCCGACCGAACTTCTCATCGACTCCGGGGCCGTAGCGTGCCT